TGCATTAGCTGAGTCAGCCGATGATCCTTGATGATTACTATTTAATACGAGGAGCATTCACTTCTAATTACTTGCTTACTACATGATCAGAATGCACACAATTTACTTTACTTAAAGGTAATGTTAACCACTTTCAAAAACAAAAAAAGAAGTGGTATTGTATAGACATATATCTCAACATGCCTGAAAAGCAATCATGAAAGGTTTTAAACATAATAGGCCAAACGTTGTTATTTTTAATGACGTTTCGTGCCTAGTACTAGTAGCTTCCCATGGTATAGATCCCGGGATAATGACAACTACAACAGACGAAAAACAAACACCTGAAGCTATTTGGTTTCTGAAAACAACAATGTTCTCGAAATCGTTATGACCTTGTAATCATGTGATTAATATGTAGTGACATGTCAAAGAATACTGACAAAAATGCATGTTATTTTGTTCGTAAAGGTGCGTTAAGCCTTTTTTCCACATTGGCGATATATAGTTATAAACCTATATATATATTTGTGATTACTTGACAAAGGCTTAACTTTTTTTTAAATCTCCTACGGTTGTTTCATTATTTCATATCCACTTGTCTAATTTTCTGAGTATCCTTTTATATATATCATTAGTAGTCAGCTTCTGTATACTTTGGAAAATAATACCAGTTGAAATTGAATGAATGATTCCGTAAAACGTCTAAAATTTCGAATTTAAAGAAGGAAATTTGGCAAACGCAAATAACTTATATATATCTTCTTACCGGGTGTATGACGTTTAAGGCTCATTTTTATAGCACATACATCTGCCTGAAAGAGGCAACCTTGGCACACAATAAAATTATACACCAATTTGAGCATCAAGAAATATGTTACAAATTAACAATAACTACAATTTAAGAAAGTAACAAATAATGCGAGGCGCCTCCTACGAATAAAGTTGTCTTTTATATTCTATATCAGAAAATAAACGTTAATGTTCTTTTCTTTTCTAATCATCTTTTAAACCAAATCATAAAAATTAGGGTACCACACCTTAAATTTAAATTTTAACTAAAATTGAAGGTGAAAAAAAGCATTTTAGATAGCGTCGGTCAAAAGACGAGCGATAAAGCATGTTGAGATATTTCGGATAGTGCACAAAGTCTCTGCACTCTGCAGCGAGAAGAAGGTGTCATCGTGTGAACTTTAAGTGAAATCCTGATAAATTAAGCAACAGTCTTCTGTCAGTTATTCCGCCGTATTGGATGCTCTGATTCCAATTCTCTCCATGGCTGCCATTATAAACTAGACTTTTACAAAAACGTATCAGAGATGTAATATGTTATATCCCTATTTCAAAATCCTTTCAAATTGAAAAAAATAGGCCTATAACGAAATGCCGATGATCTATTAAAACCAACACAGTGTAGTAAAACCTCGGTAAGGATCACTAAATGTGATTATGTTACCATATTATGTTAAGGACGATCAATTTGAACATCATCTAAGTGATCAATATATTATGTTTACCCGATATATTTTAGATTGTGCATTTCTGTTTTTCACTTAAATGCATCCCGTCACCCATCCAGTCTGGAAGTAGAATGTTGCTGGTGAATCCTCGTTGAGTGCCTTCACAAACACCATCGAGAACGAAAGAAAAACTGTCTTCATGTTCATCACGTAGAGGCTATTTCAATATAAATATGCACAAAAAACAGAACAAAACGTTAATGGTGAAGATGAATAGTTGGGGGAAAGGTTACATGAATTCATGTGGTAATGTACAATAATTGATATCGTATAATCCTAAAGGGCAATCTAACCTTTGTAAAGGGTTCTTTGTATGAAAGAAGTAAACTAAGAGAAACAGCATGACGAAAGTTTGATATACATCGGACCAACAATAAGAGAGTTATGAATATTGTTTAAATGATATCACTAAATCTATGCTAATCTCAAATGGGCAATTTGGTCAGTGGATTGTGACATAGTCATAGTCTATTCTCCCGTTTGCAGTGTACAAAAAATATCATTCATTTCTATTTTTCCTGTAAGTGCCTTCTCCCTTTGGGCACTACTCGGGATAGCATAATTATTATTAAAGATCCTATAAAAAGAAAAGCCCCTCCTGAGTCATACATTTGGAGAATAACAACAACAACAACAACAACAACAACAATAAATCGGCATTTTATTTATTGTTTGTGTTGTAACACATTGGGAAAGTTGTCCGGCACTATACGTCACGGTGACATTACCGACTTAGTCAATTTTAAGTATATAGTGATCGTAACACCTTTCAAAAATTCATAAATTTGTTAATTTTTGTCTAGTTTCATTCGAATTTCCACCAGTTTGCTTCTCTGATTCTTTTGCTTTCTTTTTTATTAGTTGTCTTTAAGGTCAATATATATATATATATATATATATATATATATATATATATTTAAACACATATCCGTACACATCAACATATCATTAGGGGGTAATTAAAAAACATGATATATATATATATAGTGGTCACTTTGGTTGTCACCATCTTGAAAGACTACCTATACCCTGATGTATTATGGAGAGTTATGATCAAAATGAACCAAAGAGAATTCTTCAAGACATCCCAGATGATGGACAGATTTGATATTACCTCTTTCTCTCACCTACCTTTTCACGCCACGATTCCTTTATGGTACACCAGACACATGTATGATAGATTACCTGTCAGCTAGAGGTCTTTAGTCGTCAAGCCGTTTGATCATTTTAATATATTGGAATATGCGTATGCTCCCTGCGGTTGTTCCCTATCGACTTCACATAGAACGGAGTGAATTCAGGAAAACACTACATTATTTATAAAATTGCGTTTTCATCAAAAATTGTCAGTGTTACTAACTCTAGCTAATAAAAGATCTTTAAATACAGAAGATTGAATCGTGTCTAATCATTCATACCTTTTTTCTATAAGCCTAAGGGAGCTGTGTGCATGTATTTAAAAGTCTGTATTATTAAATCATCCACTCAATTTTCAGAATGCTGAATTTTAGATTGGTTAAGCTTCAATGTTAATGAAAAAGTCAAAATTATTACAATACCAAGAAACCTTCATTAGGAATGATTATTATGAGCTAACCCTTTAACATACAATTGAAGAGGTTTATTATATTCGAGCTTATAAATCATTATCAGGAGGCACTTTGTACCCCCTTGTCAAAAGTTTGCTTTTGTGGAAAGTTGATCTTTTAAAGCACTTGATGCTGGAGAGACCTATCCGATGAAGTGTGTTTACCATAAATATTGGTTTTAGCTGTTACTAGAGAAGGGTGCGCCTTGTTTGTGCCAGTTGGGTTTGAAATTCCTCTTGATTACCAAAAAAGTCATTGAATGTAAAAAGTTGAGGAAAAGAATAAGGCCTATCGTATATAGAGTTACGCAATTCAGCGTTTCTGTTTCACATGAAACGCTTCTTTCCTCGTATTACACTCGTATGTGCAAGGTTTATGAATTTGTGTATAGTTTGACAAATAAATGTAAATACTGTATATGATGATGTGTGTGGGTGTGTGTGTATGTGAGAGAGATAGTGAGGGATGTGAGGTACGTGTATTTCATTCTGAGAGCTTAATATACTCTTGCTGGTATGCAGTGACGTCATATCCTGGAGATGGCCAGAGTCGAGAATGTAATAAGTCGTCTTTATCTCAGTGGAAGAAAATCGAAGAAGTTACATGGAAAATACCTAGTTCCGCTACAGAAGGATAGGAATATTTCTTTTTCAACCGACAAGAGACAGGGTAACATATTCCGTATATAGAAACAAATACAGAAACAAATACAGAAACAAATACAAGAACAGAACACAAAACTGAAAAAATGAGAACAGAAACTATAATTTATGAATCGTCAATAATTAGTCAGTACGCTAGTGTTATAAAAGTTTGAATAGGAATATAGACACATTCTTGATTTAATTATATTCATAACGACGTTGGTAACGGATTAGGGGATTTTTAAAAGAAAGCGTAGCAGAGAGCTAAAAACTTAAGAGATACTTAAAGATGAAATGTAAAATGCACACTGAATTAAAGTACTGAGGAAATAGACTGGTTCGACGAATATCCTTGAAATGCTGTTAAGGAGATCGTTTGACGTGTCTTTGGTTTGTATTTTCAACGATAGCTGCAGCACTTAAAAATAAGCTAGTTATATTTTTTTCATTCATTTATTCCAATCATAGTTTAGATTTCATATAAAAATGTATTAATGGTTGACAACTCATTTACAATAAAAATACATAATTCAACATTCGAAATACTAAACATGAGAACACAACAAAAAGCATTAGCAATTACAATACCCTAAACAAAGTGTGGTATAATAAGCCAGGGATTTCGGCTTTGTTCTCATGACTTTATTATTAGGCCTTAATGTTCTATATTTGTGCTTTTTAAAACAATGAAATTATGGACCTGCACATCGGTTCTTATGTTTAATATGTACATGTACATCACATGTATGTTAAAGATGAGAGTTCAGACCAAATGTGATTCCCAGATGAAAAGAGGAGCAGTTTATAACGGCTGATTAACCACAATAATTTCACTCACATCTTTTTACTTGAGACGTGGTCTTTAAAACAACGACAATGATAATAATAACAACAATAGGAACCAAAATGTTAATAATGATAATGATGACGAGAATAATGATATAATAAAAAATGTATTAAGATATTAAAAGAATTTACATTTATATAGCACAACACTATGCACATAATTTATATTCAACTACACTGCAATAGCTTCGGATTCCTTTTGAACTATATACATCATGAAGTGACAACAAGTTAATAATACTACTACATTGTACAATGATGATAATAATGTTAACATCATTCCATGATTTCTCTCAAATCAAAGCTTATAATCATCCTCAGAAGTATTTTATTTTACTATCTATGAGAATGATACAATGTTATTCTATTAAATAAAATATACTTTTAAATCATTGTATTTTCCTTCTCATTCCCAACTACAGGTACAGGTAACTGGTGCTAATATGACGTCGACGACGAACACAAGTGCGTAGATCTCCTTCTGACCTGTGTTTATGAGACTAAACATCTTCAAACATGTATTTATAACCGTTAGGATACGACCCACCTTGGCGGACAAGATAAACAAGCAAAGTCGCGGAGAAAAGAAAAGGAAATGGCAATCGTGATTAGGATAGAAGGATTTCTTCGATCAACGAAGACAGTATGACCTAAATCCATCCAAGAATATACTGCGATTAAAAGGGTGGGCATTTATTGGATGTGCATGATGTAAGCGGTACGTCAGTCTTCATGGCGTATGTTTTACGTGTGATGCTGCGATTGTGGGCTGCACATCGCTCCAACATGGGAGAAGAATGGACTGAAAAAGACATTTCACCATTTAACGAGTTTAATCATGTGAACGCTCTGAGCAGATAAAGGTAGTTTGTTGTCGTAGCAGTGACAGGTTGAGAGTTGTGTTGTTTACGATGTGTAACTACAATCACACTGTGTAAAATTGCACTCATTTAGGCCTAATGATGTTAGAATTGAAAGAGAGTCCTCTTAAAACAATCTGTGGATCAAACATTTTGTATTGATAAGTAGAATATTGAAATATACAGTTTTCAAATTTTTATTTTGTTTATGGGTAGATATGGAATTAATGTTTGTATCTCATGGAAGACGTTTTTCACAGTCATCGTACTATACTGTAAGTAATATTAGCACATCACCCGGCATTAACTGATCATTAATCGTATTTTAAGGTCATCTGTAAAATAAATAAACATTTAGTATTATTGGTAAGACATGCTTAAAGTACATGAAGATGTATTGCTATATATATATATATATATATATATATATATATATATATTATAATTAGCCTTTTCATAATGGACCAAAGAACGAATATTTGGAATGTGAGATGGTAACAAAGACAAATGTTTGAAATATGAGAAAATGATGATTTGGTACAAAAGCAACAACTCAAACGCTAAGGTCGAGAATTGGCAAAGGAGAGTACGTTTCTTTGAGATATTCTTTTCCGATCACCTCGTATATAAGACGACCATAATCCAATGTAACATGATGATGATGTACCAAGATACTCTTGGAACACTCGTATATTTAAACAGAACCAGAATGTTTGACTGGGCCGTCATATTAATAAGGTAATTCAGTTTCTCACCTAATGTAATTTCAAAGCACGTACTCGTGATCACCTGACACTAATTCAACTTTTTCTTCATGGATTGTACATTTTTATAGTGTCGATGCTATAGAATCACAGATTTTGTTCAATCGTTTTATAAAGTCGTTATGTATATATTAAGACATATATATTCTGTATAAGAATTTCATGAATATTGAAAGTAACACTTGCCTTTAAACTAGCTATGAATGTATTCTTCATAGTTAGTCTTTTAAAAATGTTCATCTCGTCTGCAATGAATAAACCAGGAATGTAAAATGAATTTTACGTCATGTTCAATTGAAGTTAAATTGAAGTATCATATAATTACGTATGCGAGACTATTTGAACTATGGTTTTTTCATTGTTTGTTGTTTTAGTGTTTTCTGCAAGTCAATTTTTGGAATTTGTTTTTACATTTGATATATAAATTACCTTATATGAGCAGATAAGCAGTCTTCAAAATCCTGGGTAATTGCCTTTTCTTCTATAAATATAGCTCTTTGAAACTAATTTATGAGGAGCACTTTATCAACTGATCAAGGAATGGGGAAATATTTGGGTCGAAATTTAGGGAAATTATGCTTCAATTATTAACAATTCAATGACAAAATTTTTATGTCGAAACTGGATTCTTGATTGTATCAGATACACGTAAATGGCATAATATGAGTGGGGGTTGTAAACTTAAAATAAAAAAATTGTTAATGTATCAATTATACCATTAAATTAGTTCTTGACAAAAATAGGTAAATTAGCTAATATTCATACATAAACAGAGTATATTATCATACATGTACTAACATTTTATGAATATGAGCTTATGTGTCCATCATTATCCCCTCTGTAATGATTTGTACTACACCTTCAAAACTCGGGAATCATTCTTAATTGTTTGCAAATGTCACAACTTATACGATTTGCACGTGTTCACAGTTCAAACAAAATATAGTTATCACCATATTCGCATGAATTATGATGATTTTTCTTTTCACTAAACGAATGTAGCCGAGACCTATCACGTATACATCCAAATGAATTGAAGGATTTTCATGTCTAAAATAAATATTCCATGCTGTTAAAAGCTAATGAAGGACCGTTTTGAAAATTTCGTGATTATCTGTTAAAATGAACTTTATTATTATTTTTATGAACGTGAACGTTTGTTTATCACTGAGGGATCAATGGAAGGATATGACAACAGGCAAGAACATTATAAAGCAACATAATTGTGTTATGTTTGATCTGTCTCTTTTTTAAAAAACAAAAGCTTTTACAAAGGAAGCATTTTATTTCTTTATTTAGATATGGTATATTTAAATATAGGACATCAGGAGAAACATTATTGCTGCCTCTAACCAATCTTAAGGGGGGGGGGGCGGTTACAAAAATCAAGCCAAAGAAAATATAACGAAAACAATATGAATGTTTACGAGTATGGATGTATGTTTGGCATTCATTTCATATGACTGCATTATTAATAATGATTATGGCATAAGCAGCTCAGTCCATCTTAACTAAAATCCACAGTAATGGTGTGTGTGTTATTGAACTGTTATAAATAGAGAAAATATATTTATTGATATATATGGTTATCGCAATTACATTATAATTATTCTTTCTAATTTGGAAATAATTAGCAAAAAAGATAAATCAGAATCTTCAACAGAGCTATCGTTGAACATTATAGAACATGGGATTATAATTGAGTTAAAAACGGTGCTTTTATTAGCATTAAAACTATAATTATGTTATTTATAGATATTTGTACCTCGTTTATATAAAGCTTCATACTCTTAGATAATCGTTCATGATACGTGGGTTAAATGTTTTTACAGAACGTAGGCGCCCCTCGCAACCATGACGATGAATCATTTGAAAGGATCTTTGAAGAACATGGACATTTCCATAATTTATTGGGGTAAAATTCATTTCTCTTAGAAGCCCAAAGTTCTTGAGATTTGTCTTGAAAATGTCCAGTGATGAACTTGATCTTAAGTTATTTTGAAATCATTGGTTAAACTCATGTCTAAAATTCTTTTTATCTCTCATATATATTTTATATAAATTGTTTTTTTAACTAAAAATTCTGTATAAGGGAAATATATGAAATGTATAGCAGGTGAAGGCTCTGTCATTTTGCGTTTGTCAGATTTCAATGTTTATTAGGATATATGTAACCAAAATTATTCAGTGTTTGGAATTAAATTGCAAGTTTCTTTCTAATCAATTCATGTGGGAGAGTGTTTATTCATAATTCATGCAAAAGGTATAATAATATCACACAGAGTTTTAAAATGAAATGTTGAGAGTGCGGCAAACATGTCAATAAAATAGGCACGACATAAAACAAAATGAGCGTCGTTGAATCAAGCACTTATATGAAATCAAAAGTACATTCCACGAAAAACGGAGAAGTGATATTTTTTTTGTTTGTTTTGTTTTACTAGTCATGGATAGCATTTTTTCTCCTTCTTATCTTGTCAGTGATAACTCAGTCTGTTTAAAATTCAATAACATTTTTCGTACTATGACATTTGCTTTATAGGTCACCGTAGGTTTTTTGAAAATGCATTTTTTTTAAATGAAGTTTGTTTGTTTGAGCTAAGATTTGTTGTTGAAGGTAATGTGATATCAATATTGTTTCAAATCCCCCCCCCCCCCAACAAAAAAATTATTATTTGACTTTCGGTGTAGATAGCATGCATACTAAGTTACTATCTTCGTTAGATTAGCCGTTGTCAAGAAAAGATACGACACACGGGACGATTATAAAAGATACTAATACCAATAGACAACATGTCACTCTTTCTCCTAGCTCGTATCTACCACAAACACATGCACACACTTTCCAACACACACGCACACACACACACACACACACACCAGATATCGCAAACAAAATAGAATATATACAGTAAAACTTTGAAGAGGGGATGTAGGCTATATACTAATCTAGATTGAATTTCTAGAGACTAAATTTCCTTTCACTTTGGATGTATTTCATGAAGATATTTATATTTTCTTTGGGGTGGGGGTGTTTTTTGATTGGTTTTGTTGTTGTTGTGTGTGTAATAAACGGAAATAAGGAATAGGAAAAAATAGATTTATATAACTGGTGGTGCAGTCTGTACATAATGTTATCTCAAGCTCACCGTATACCTGTCGTAAATGACGCATATCTAGTCTGTTCAAATCTATCAATGTCATAAGAGGGTATAGACATTACAAAATCTTTCCATTTGGTCGAAAGAACCAATCCATGCTCTTTTGCTAAAGCTGATTTCCATTTCCATTTTTTCCCTCCAGGATTGAATAAAAGAATGTTATATTGAGGTGTCCTGACTGAACCCAGTCATAAAGACGGAAAAGCGATGTTTCGTGTGTTCTAGTTCTTGCGCTTAAAGAGCAAAATAAAAATTGCCATTAAGGTTTGTTTACTTTGTTTTTAATCCCGTCATAATATCGTGTGTGAAAGGGGTATGTTGATCTCTAATGGTTTATATGAAACCCTACAAGTCATTGGCATCTGCGGTATGCATGCGATTCAAGCACTCACTGTGATGAAGCCCAAAGATATGTCCGCATTGCTCTTCATGCTGAGCGCGCCCGAGAGGTAGAGAAAGGAAATTAGTCATTATTTCTCCGTCTCCTTGGGGACAGAGTTTGATCAGTTATCTTGCTCACAATCAGTCTATATTGCATACAGTCATGTGATCAAATAATGAGTTATACATAGTCATGAGCAGATGTTTTGTGAGGTGTTGGAAATTATAACTGTGATAGCTCGTGCAGTTGTAGGCGTTTCAAGCTTTCAAATGAGTTTGATCCTTTATTTCGTTGAATAGTGATATTGTATTAAGTTGGCATTTCTTGCAAAACAGTGATCAAAATTCAATCTGAATGACTCGGGTATACTTTGAGCAACCAATAGGATACGCTGGTTGAATTACACTGGTAGCTGCAAATACCCGAGTATTCATATATAATGAAATGATTAACGGTCTCATTACTGCACTTAAGGGATACATTCAGGAAGACTATGTCTTTCTATCATTACAAGTGAATCACATATCACATACTTGTTTTCAATGTTCAATGATAATGTTTCATCAATCTCTTCAGTTAACCTTAGTTACCACGAAGAAAGATATAGCTTGTAATATTAGGTAGAGTCAAATATAGTGAACGTCATCAAGCAGCGGATCAAAATAAAAACTCTTTTAACGCTACTCGATCGATCGATTTGCTAAGGCTGCTGAATTATTAAAACGGAATAAGAAATACGAAGATGACAACGTCTACCCCGAGGCGTAGTGTAAACCCTCATCTATGCTTTTAAAAAGCGAGGTTAGACGGATATGACGATGTTTATTATGCCATGACTCTCGTCTCTCATCACATCCGACCCAGCCAGCCCCTTCATTCTGGTTGCATGTTCGTGCATTCTGTATTGTGCGCCAATAACCAGCTACGCATAGCTCGTCTACATGGCCAGTCTGACGCCACTTTTAATACACTACCAACTCATGTCTATCAACAAAAAGAAGAAGAAAAAATCTTTAAAGACCTAAATTTTATGAAAGTACAATGGAAACATCGCAGTCCGTCAGCTGAGAGTCAGAATGGTGCTAACTGTATGACTTAATGACCTTATGCATCTCAATAGACTATATCTCACGTCTTAAACCATCAAAACTGTTCATGACAAGAACAAAATGGACCGTGCGTACACACCCAGTATCTACATGCATGGCCATAAGGTATACTTGAAGAATGGCGGCAATATGTCGTTATCAGCGGAAGAAGCAGGGCTATCACAACATGAGAAGCGCGGCTAGCTATGCACTGCCCTCACATCGTATTCGCTACTCATACCAAATGCCCGACAGGCTACAGAGATTATATCCTGGGATGAATGTCGTATATAAATCAACCAGAGTTCTTTAAGATTCCAAACCCTTCATAATAACACAGATCGATGCGTTGCTCTATCCTCCGGTCATATTTTGCGTTCATTGTCTTTCATGCAGATCACCCCATGGTTTATCCATTATTCACAGGCTATAGTAGCTAGAATTTCATAGCATTTTGTGAGTACCATGAAATGAGTCTAATCGTGAAGGAACACAGTACCGATCGTGCATGGTGTACATGTTTGGTACGACCAGTACGACCAGTACTTGATCGAGGTAAAGAATCGTATCCTGGAGTATTTCAACTATGTCTGAGATCTATGTATATTCCTGGGTCAACATTAGTAGCTTGTGGCGCCTTTGTAAGCGTACAGTCATCACTCATATGAGGACTCATTGTGTTTATCAAACAATGATTTAAAGCTTCATAAAACAGATCCGTCGCGTTGCACTGGTCTATGCCTGGCGCCAAGATTGGAGGCGATACCGGGCTCAGGTTACTTAGGGGGAGGGGGAGGGGCTGAATGCATGTGATGTGAGGTATAACGATTTTTCTCAACATATCCAAAGAAAAATCATTCCCTTTAAGATGGTAACATGGGCAATAAAATACGTCAAGTAAAGTATCTAATTCTATTTCTCATTGATATACAGTTTTTCTCCTCGAGTGTTTCATGGTAAAAGCGAAAGAAGCAAGGTTGGTGCGATTTCAATCGCCTCGATTTTTAAACAAAAATCAGCAACAAAAATAGGTGATTTAAATCACTTCCATAGACTTGTGTGTTACATAATGTAATTTGTTGAAATATCTTCTTAAGAGTGAATTCCCACCCCCTCTATTTTTGCACTTTTGTGCTACAACATCATTTATTTTGTTGTGAATCCATGCCCTTTATGTTGGCCCATCAGTTTTGAGCAAGCCATTCAGTTCAAAGACCAACTTAAAGTTATAGGCCCATCAATTACAATGTTGCAAACACATTCAAAGTCCATATTTAGTTTTTATCCTTTTTCTATATTCTATGTTTTTGTAAGTAAAACTCTTTCCCCAATCTTTCATCTTTTATTCTATCATTCTCTGTGTGTTTCTTTATTTGTATCAGCTCAGCTTGTCTGATTATTTGTTTTTAATCCTCTTTAACCTTTTCTTCTATTATTATTTTGTTATTTGGTTTATACTTCTTTCATCTCTTTTTACTTTTTTACCAACAGTTTGTATACTGCTTCATATGCTATTCTTTGTTTTTATCATTTTACCATCTTCTCTTTCTTTCCTTATTTTTCTTTCATTTTGCGCCTTTAGGCCTAATATTTCCATTCGCTTCTTTTATCATATCCTTTTCGTCATTCACTTCTTTTGTCTCATCCTTTTTTATCTATATTCTTATATATGCAATGTTTATGTTTTATTTCTATATTGCCTTATGCTAAACATGTTTATTACTAATTCTTTCATCTTTTACTTTTACATTCCCTATGTAGTTTTTTTCTCTATCATCTCTATCATCTTGCTTTTTCCTACTTTCCTTGTTTTAATCCTTTTTGCAAATTTTCTTTCAAGTTGGAGGAACATTTTTCAAAAATTATTTCAAATCTATGACGCAAATTAGCCTTATTTACATGCATAAGGCCATCATGATGTTTCCTTATCCACTACTCTAGGCCTATACGTTGGAGGAATTTTATCATATTCAATTGTCTCAATCTAAAATAAAGACATTTTGAACGTCATATATTCTGACTTTTTTTACACTAAATTACCAGCTTCTTTATTTTGATGATGATTACATTTTCCAAATCACGTCATCGTATTAGAGCACATTTTAATGAACATTTTTACCCCTACCCCCCCCCCAAAAAAAAAAGGTTTAAAAAAAAAATCTGATTAAATTTTCAAATTACGATATTTTTCAACCCTGAAATCATTTATTCGTCATATCATTCATCAGGCAAATATGCACGAGGCCATCATAAATAGATCTTTCCTTATCCACTACTATAGGCATATATATACAGGATAATGTGAAATTATACCTGATTTTAATCTCAATAAAAATCAAGACAATTTTGAACTACATGTTAATATCTGATACCAAAATTGCTGGCGTCTGCCTTTCAATGATAGGTTACTTTTAACAACTAATGCAAACATCCTCATGACTTCAGCTACGTCAACTAATTTGAATCACACCTGTCCTTAATTATTTTCATCCATTTTCTTTTAAAATCGAATATTAAAGAGAAGAAGAGTGATAAGAGAAAATAGGGTGAAAAAAGAAAGAGAGAGAGGGGAAAAAAAGAAGTGTGAAGTGAGAAAGAGAAAGCTAGAGCTAGGAGAGGGGTCCACCCAACCTTCAGTAAACTAGAATGTTTGGTATGAAGCTTTGATTACATTCCATGATGCTGACGTCACTACTTGACGAAGGGTACTTGGAGAGCTGTATTAAATACAGACATTTTAGAAACAATATGATAGAGCGATACCTTCCTACTCGGCATATAAACAAGAATAACCATACATTCACATACAGTAACTTTTTTTAGTTTACACCCAGAGAAAGGATGTTAATCGCAACATTTTTCGTTAAGAGGTATGAGTGGATTTTAAGAACTATTTTTCGTGACTAAGAGGACTATAAAGAATTTTTGCATTTATGTGCATAAATTTTCTTTTTTTGTAAATAATTTTTATGATGAAGGTTTATTGTTGATCAAGCATCTCAATACATGGTTCATAAGTCGACAGTAACCCAAAGTCATGATTGTTATTAAAATCAATGGGGTCCAACTTCTACATTATTTTCATCACAAAGCGAATTGTGATATTCAGTTTGGCATCTGATCATCGCATTGACGCAACCTCTCAAATCAACCAACACATCTATCACAGTAGGCAAAACTAATTACTGGTTACTCATCCTGTTGGCTTAAATTTATTGACAATTTAATCATTCACTGCAACCGATGACGGGGTGAGGACTCAACATGATTCTATGTCAATATCAAGAGCAGTGATTCGATGACTTGGCCTTCTGACTATGGAGAGAGAGAGAGAGAGAGAGAGAGAGACAGATAGACAGAGAGAGAGAGAGAGAGAGAGAGAGAGAGAGATTGGGGTATTGATTATTCAGTGATGGATAGAGAGAAAAGAGAGACACACACACAGATGAAGAGAGTTAGAAATAGAGAAGAATAGAAAGATATCTTAGCACAGAATATATCAATGTAATTCACCAATAATATGCGAATTCCATTATAAAAATATATCAGCACACCTGCACATATCCGCTCTATAAACGCACTACACACATCGTGACACGTGACCCCCTTTGTTATACTTCAGTCACATCACCGACACCACACCGACACCACATCTACACCACACCGACACCACACCGACACCACACCGACACCACACCTACACCACACCACACCGACACCACACCACACCACACCGACACCACACCGACACCACATCTACATCATACCGACACCACGCCGACACCACACCGACACCACGCCGACACCACGCCGACACCAAACCGACACCACACCTTCACTACACCTACACCACACCAACCCTACACCACACCGACACCACACCTACACTACAACGACACCTAACCGACAACCGACCGATCGAACGACTGCAATGCCTCCATGGGTAAGAATCAGTCGGTTTGGCGGTGTAACTGAGTCTGGTATTATCATGGTGATTGCAATACACTTTCCATAAGGACAAGGTGTTTTCAAGTATTTTCAAGAAATAGCTCATGATGGAGAGACAACAAAAAATACCTATTCAGGAGAGAGAACGGGTACCAGTCGGTATCATGATGTAAAGCACTGCTTGGAAGGAGGAAGGGGGCAGCGAAAGGGGGAAGACAGCCAAAGTTGTAACATTAACTGAATAGGCATTTCATGATTTAAGGAAATTTCAAGTGACTTGCAACTATAGAAAGAAAAAAAAGATGAACCTGTGCCTATGTAAAATCACAAAATATCATCTTTGTTTTCACGATGACCCGACCTACCTACATAACACCACACCCTTTTGGAAGAGTTTGAGACAAAGCTGCGTGAAAGGTGTATGATAAAGCAAAGCATGATAATGCTGATGGTAAAACAAGATTGGTTAATAAATGATAGGGAACAAAACTGAACTGAACAAAGAAGAATCTTTCCTCAGGCATACATGATTGAAGTCACGGTTTACTATTATTCCATGACGCCATCGTTGCCATAGTGATCACCGGTTATTTCTCTTGCTCATTTTTATTGAAATCCGTCAGTGAAAGAAGGATATATTAGCAGCACCACACAATTTCTACTCCTTTTTTTAAAGAAGGAATCAAAACTAAGCATAATACATGTATATTAATTAACACATAATAATAATAATAATAATAATAATAATAATAATTGATTCTTATTGAGCGCTACTACAGACAAACTGATCAGAGCGCTATACAACAGAAAAGAAACATACAAATCATAACAATTAAACAAGGAACAGTAATTAAGATATTATGAACGAAAAGAAAATTTAGCTACTCAAAATGTACATTATGGATTCAAGATGAAAGTTTCTTTTTGAAAGTGTCTTTGGTACTACATAGGCGGAGGTGTTGTGGCAGAGTGTTCCAGGTGGATGGTCCAGCATAAAAGAATGAGCGTTCGGCTGCCTTGGTGTTGGTGCGTGGGATCAGTAATAGTGTCTGATCGTTCCGTGAACGCAGATGGTATCTGGAAACTGGAGGAGTAGTAAGCATGATAGACAGATAGTGTGGAGCAGAATGCATTAAGCACTTGTACACTAAAAGTGCTAGTTTGAATTCAATTCGCTGTTTGATGGGAAGCCAGTGTAGTTGATTCAACATAGGAGCACTTGGCTCTCTTTTCTTTACATACAAACTTACACACATACACACACACTCAAAGTCAAACACAAGGCGCGATAGCACAGTCGGCAGAGCAGTGGTGTCGTAATCCGGTGACCCGAGTTCGAAACCAAGGCGATGCGCTATAGTTCCCTTTGGTAAGGCATTAATCCTCATTACCAGGTCCCTCGGAGAGGACCTAAAGCCGTCGGCCGTCTGGTTGCTTACTTACAAGCATTTATGCTTTCTTAGCAGGCAGGTAAAATAACCACCACCACCAAAGTACAAATCTCACATATTGCATTGCATATTCTTTGGAACATAAAATGTGTGTTTGTTCGTGGTTTATTTTAAATTTTGATAAATCCCCATTACGATTTCCCCCTACATTATTTTATTCAAATACCTTTAATTAAAAAATGTTTTAAAGCTGTAGAAAACTAACCTATAAGAAGGTAAAGGCCCGGTCCCACTGCACTTACGGATGCAAAGAGGATGTAAAACGTAAACAAATCTTGCTATCCGTTGGAAAACGCTATGCATCCGTTCCGTACTCATTGCATACGTGTTTCATACGCTCTATCCATCGAGCATCCGTCCACTGTAATTTCATCCGCGCAAAAAGTTTTGAGCTGCACAAAACTTTTAGAACGGATGAACTTCCGCCGTGTACGATGTAAATCCGCGACAAATACGTGCAACATACGTTCTATGTCCGTTATCATCCGTTAAACGTCCGCTGTATCCTCTCTGCATCCTCTGGGCATCCTCGCAACTCACATCCGCTGCAGCTGAAAACGGAAAGAGGGAGGAAAGATAAGGTTCATGGAACGTCTATACATCGTTATAGTAGCACGGAAATAGAAAGGATGTTAGCGTATGCTTCTCGTATATAAAGTATTCAAATCTGTCATCCACTTCCATCCGCTTTCATCCGCCAGGCTTCCGATTAACATCCGTTTAACATCCCCGCTACGTACTACCCACGTCCGTTTTTTTCCGTTCTGTTTTCGCAATTTTTTGCCAATTTTGTCCATTTCTTGAGCGGATGAAAACGGATAGAGCCATCCCGGAAATTTTGCTCGTCCGCTGTGTCCTTTATGCATACGTTTTGTGTCCATCGGCCAGTGGGACCGGGCCATAAGGGACGATGGGGTCCGATTCCAGGATTAATACAAAAAGGGGATCCGGGACTTTCAGGGTCATGGCTTAATTGATATTAAATCATACTAGTCATAATAATAATAAATAATGATAATAGTGGGTACTTGAATAGCGCTCATGTCTGTCATTTTTGACATTCTTAGGGCTCCACAATAATTACCCCGGCTGCCATAATGGCACTCTAGCATTTCAAGAAGTTAAATCCTGACAGGTACCCATTTATCCCAACTGGGTCTTATTGCGTCAAATTAGTCCAGCGGCGGGGCTCGAACCATGTGATCAGCAGTCCGGTCGGACATATCTACTTGACCATGACACCTCCACGACACCTCCACGACACCAACCAAATCATTCTACGAGTCTCTAGAAATAAAGCTGTCATGGCGGATAAGTTACTTGATGGATAGTATGGGTGATGAGGGCAACTGAACACCTTGCTTCAGGCCAGCCAGCTAGGGTGTCGTGACTTGAATACCACTAGAGAAGATAATCTCATTCGATGAGTGATAGCACGGTGTGCCGCCTGCCACCAATATCACACCGTCTTATCACACGCACAAATAGATTAAACGAGTTTTTAATACGGAATGAAAGGGCAGATGATAGTTTGTACGAATGCTTTTCATTTACGGGAGCAACTATGAATGAATGTCATATTACTCGTTTGATATCTTCGACACGCCCATGAATCTTTATTAAGTATATCTCTTTCACGGCAAACAAGATACCCATCGAAAATGGGAAGACGGTCGATCAATTCAATACTAAAACAAAAATGTCATATAGGTTCCCCACTTCAATCAAAATTGTAAAGTTGATGTTAAAAAAGTTGTTGGGCCTTATGAGACAGAACAGGGGATAGTATTTATACATCATCATATCATATTCATCAGTTATTTTAGTTTGTTGTTGATTATGTATTTCTATGCGAGCAAAATTAAAAATAATTAAAAGCAAAATTAGAAATCATCTCAAAAATTCATATCTAGGGCATGATTAGTCTGTCTTTGTTGTTTAACTCGTCCTGTTATATTTACTGATTTTTGTTTTATTTAATCATTTCTTCTTTATGCATTCTCCTTATATGCCTGTTTAAAAATTTTAATTCCACTCGTCTCTTCATCTATATATACAGCAGCAAGAAAAACATGCTTGTTAATTAAATAGTAACATGTGTTACGCATGGAAGAACAGCTGCTGTTCTTTGCCATTACAGCTGAAATAGACAATCCATCGAACTTGAGACTTGAATTCCTCTATAAATATGTATGACAATAATCTTTATTATTTTGATTACGGACCAACAAACAAACAAATAAACAAAGAGATTGGCCAATAGTAGATCACTAACGAATATCAATCTACACAGAGATCGGTCGAGCCTTATCTCTCTCTCTATGACCGAGTTTAAATGAAACCATCAGCTTCTACGTCATATTATTGATAAGATCTGTCCTACTTATATCTCTGAAAATAGAAAGGAAGGTCGTAGAGTACTTTTGAAATGCGGTAGAAGAGCAGTATAACACCCCGCCCATACTGAAAGTAATGTCTATATATACACGGCAAAACATAGAGGTTCCGATGTATCATGGCGTTTTTGTCTATAATTAACTTGTATGCTTGTAAGATCATGTCCCATTAACCCCCCCCCCCCCCTTTCTTTCCCCCTCGAACACGGAAAGAAGGTTCTGGCATTTTCGGTCACGGTGGTAATATGATGAAATAGAAGAGGGCACGTCGATGTGTAAGAGTGGCAGACGCGTAGACTCAGACACGATGCCCTTGAGTACTGTTAGAATAATCGCTAAAAAGCAGCCAATCAGACTCTTAACTGATTCCAAGGGACCCAATTCTTGTCAGCTTGCCTGAGGAAGCACATTTCAAAATCCAATGTCTGCTTCAACATGAGGACATTCTAAACAGTCAAACTTTGGTGGGTTTTACTAAGTGACTTACATGTATATAATATAATAGCTTTGTGATTTGAAATTAACGCAACTTCTTGCCCTTATAAACAAGCAATGAGATTTTAACGAAAGAAAATACCTCATTTAAATACGTGATTCTCCCCTCTCAACATTTCACAGTTAACGGACTAAAAATTCCTATCTTTGTTGAAAATTAATTAATGAAAAATGCATGTAGTAAAAAACATTTTTTTTTTTTTTTTTTTTTTTTGGGGGGGGGGGGGAGGGGTTCAAGGTTCCAAGTTCAAATTTATTTTCCACTTTCTCATATTGCATATAATAAAACATTAACAAAACAAAGCAGTGCATTACCCACATCGGTACAATAATAATGTTGCATTTTTTAAATTATGTACATCTTTTTTTAGTGAACATAATATACATTGCTTCATTATAAAGGAATTGTAAACAATAATCTTTCTAAATTACATCAAAATTTGAGAAAAAGTGGAGGAACCTACTAAAGAAGCAGAGGTCCCCTATTTAGGAAAAAGTCAAACTTGTATTCAAGAGGTTCGAGGGGAAACATACCTAACATGTTTATCCTTGGCTAGACTAAGATGTCTTCACGTTTACCTAAGTTTTCTTCAGGCAGCATTTCTCAAAATTTATGAGTGCCCCAACTTCCCCCTTCTAAATTTGATCTGAATCCTCCAAGAGCAGGTCGTGTAATATGTTAATGAGCTCCCTTTCTCATACGTGCTTCTACGGTGCATAAGCCTTTCATCCCCCCTCCCTCCTGGTGACTGTCTGTACCTATACTAGGTTCATATCCATCTTATCATGTTGATCACGCATCCAGGCAAGTGTTCTCTTCATCAGGTCCACTATCAAACCTGACAATTCCAATCTACGTCAGGAAAGCCTTTCAACACGAGCCTCGGATTATCACGACTTGTCCAGCTCTATCAATCATTCTAAACGAGGATATCATCAGGGCATCTCTTAACATGCATGGCTCGCATAACATCCAGGGTGGAGTTTTGACACACGTACGGTCAGTGAAATCGGTGACGGTTCCCTTCAATATTATCCCATCAATAAATCAACATGACAAATAAATACAAACAAAAACATACAATTGAATAAAATGAACGTTTTTGACATTGATTGCTTATACATAAACATAATTATAAACACAAACTCTCACACAAACACACACACACACACACACACACACACACACCCACACGCACACACACACACACACACACTCTCGACTCTCACTTTAAACTTTTTAAACAAAATACACCATACAAAAATTAAGGAAAGGTAGAGTATATCTGCTGTCGCTGAGAATGCCAAATGTCTTATTCTGACAAGGTTTTCGGAGCCTGCATGATATTGCTTTAGCAAGGAAGTAAGAAAAAGAGCAATTCTTGCTCTGATTTCGGGTGTCATATTCAGGCGACCTGCTCTGGTTCTGTGTCTGGTACGATTCATCCGAACTCAATCAAACAGCAAAGAATGCGATTGCTGACTTTCTACTAATTTCACTAGCTTGATTCAAAGGATCTTGATAAGGCATTTCTTGAACACGACATACCGTTCATTGACCTAATCGTATCCAGTTTGATGACAGTCACTGATGGCAGGGAAGATGCGGTGCTCTACCTTTACATAAGGTGTCTGCCCTCTTGGACATGGGTGAGACGTATGTGAGATCCACTGTTATAAGTATTTTTCATAGATTTTTCTGTTGCGTTTAATTTTTTTTCCCGCCAGCCGAATCGCGCAAGTCTGCATGTACCGTGGGTTTAAAAAAAAATGTTTTGATGGAATAATGACCACAGTTTAGACCAGGGGCGGTAAAAGATTTTTTTCTTCTTCCATTATCGGGGAGGAGCACATTGTCCCCCAAAACCTCCACCAACATTAACACCAACAATAATAACAACCAAAAGGACAAGTAGGATGCTGGTTGAGCTCATACACAGTCTTGTTGTGTTCATGCAGATAAATAACCCGGCTGACATAAAAACTTAAGCCGTTCAAATCGATCGAACTCGCAAGAGACATCTTAATAGGAACATGCACTTTATTCTCCTCTGTAGTCTCATCGTGAAATATGAGTGGATTGATATCCCTCGACACTCAATCTATATCGTCTCATCCCTCGATACTCAATCTATATCGTCTCATCCCTCGACACTCAATCTATATCGTCTCATCCCTCGACACTCAATCTATATCGTCTCATCCCTCGACACTCAATCTATATCGTCTCATCCCTCGATACTCAATCTATATCGTCTCATCCCTCGACACTCAATCTATATCGTCTCATCCCTCGACACTCAATCTATATCGTCACATCCCTCGATACTCAAAGCTGTCAAAACATACCTCCTGCTTGATCGATACCGTCCATCATTCCTATAGTTTCCCGCGCTTTTGATTCAGCTCAACTATCGTCTGCTTGCCCATCCCCGATCGACCTGTTACCCTCAAAACATTAACAAATTAATAATGCTAAAATGTGCGTACGTATTAAGAAATCACGAAATTTCTCTTATCCGAGTACTATTAAAGAGAAAACAAATTCTCTAAAGTTGTGTCTTTTACCTTGCAAGACATCCTTCTAGAAGGGTCGACATCTAAAGATACCCACCAGCCTGTACACTGATAGCTAGTGCACCTGTGAAATATTATACTGAATTTATCATTATATATTATTTGGGTAATGCAAATTAGCCTTTTTTCAAAATTATTTTGTACTTTCATATTATAGATGCCGATATAGTGGCGAGACTTTACATGTAGGTTTAACTGTTAAAACAATTGCAGAGCACACTTTTAACCGAGAATCAAGAATCATAAATAACACCATATAGGAAAATATTGGCAGGAATGAACGGTGCGATGCAAAAGGGTATCATTATGTTCTGAATGGATTACCTGATACACATGATTGTGTGTGACTTTAGTTTTTCAACAATTGTAATACTAAATATTCAGAACATTATTTCAAAGTAATAGGATTGAATTTTCAAAATGATAGTGGGGCAAGCTTTTCTTCAGCAGATATTGCAGAAATAACAGAATGGAGGATACTCCTAGCATGGAAGTATGGAGAGAAGCTGTATCTAAATGAGCTTTTATCTACTAAAATGTGCAAAATGTTTTTTCTTATCCTTTGATGAGGCCATGTCTTTTTTATATAGTCAATAATTGTCCTGAATTCTGAATACTGGTGTGTAAATATCAATCTGGATTCGTAATCAAGAATAAACCTCTCTTGGCAGCATATTTGTGGAAAGGAGTATGTACATACAATGTACATGTGTTTATTGTGAAAAGATTATGACTATACCATTTATCAACAGCACATTTGAAACAGTTCTCATTTCGGAAAGGCTAAAAATGTTCTTTGAAACTTGGGAGTCCTTCTGCTTTCTCTTACGATTATCTAGTAAAGTGTGTTATTCAATATTTTATTTGAAGGAAAGGACATTAAACAACCTTTGTGTCTTAAAATACACAAACTAAATACATTTAATATGTATATACTACAAGTTAAACCTTCTTCATTCAAGTACATTTAAGAAAAGAAATAAACTTCAGTTCTGTAAAGTTTCACAAATGTAAACCAATTTTATTTAGAGATCATTCATATACACGCCACGGATAAGTTGTAATTACATAGTCAAGTATTTGCAATAATTTGCAACAACTTGCCAGAAGATACTAATAGGATTGTAAAGAAAGATGGATTACACATACAAGCGGGTACACATCCTTATCACATTATCTGTCTATATGAAAAGACCTCTCAAACAATAGTTTCTTGACTATAAAGAGTCATTCCAGATTAGTTTACTTTTGTGCAAATATGTCTTGCAAAATGCTCAAACTTTTCACATTGTACACTGTGGATTTATGTACTAGCAAACTGTGCATTATGAATCTTTATTGAAAAAACACAACAAATACCTCCCAATAGCCCAACATTGTATATTCTAATCAATACTTTAATCTTCCAAATCACTGCATTTTTATCAAAAAAACAGTTCACTTGTGAAAATGAGTACATGTACACAATGTATATCACAAGCCAGATGAAAATATTGATCTGTTAGAAAAAAGAAAAGGGAAAGAAAGAAAATACATCCTCATTTCTGAAGATAAAAAAGTCTGTCAAAAAGAGTATAAACCAATGACAGAGTAGACTTGTGTTACTTTCATACGATTGGATGGATACATGGAGTGTATATAATACTGTTGGACCAGGGAGATTTACAGCACATAATCACAGAAAAGATTACAGTGTGTTTAGCACAGAGCAATCAGAGAGAGACTTTGGAAGGGTTTATAACACTATGTTTCATAATGATTCAAATCTATTTTAGTCGAAGAGAATCACATTGTCTAAGTACCAGGTTGATTATAGAGAGATAACAGTATGCTCATTCAGTCACAATAGAGAGAACAATGTATGTGCATGTATGAAAGTGTGCCCATTGAAACTCATTCACAGTGTGTCAGACTTAGGGCGGTCGGTCAGGGAGAAAATCACAAGGTCTGTTCCCATACAGACAATAAGAAAAACTTTCAGATTTCAAATGTGTTCCCATTGTCTAACACATATCATAGAGCACAATATTTTTATGTGGTAGGGGAGATCACAAGATTTGTGTTCTTTCATAATCATACATGTGTATCCTCAGTTATTATTCTGAACGATAATGTAGAGTGACTAGCTATTAGTCTAATATTCCCTTCTTAACATCCACAGCTAAACTTTAATCTGCACACCATAATATGAATTGCCTTGAAAATCTGTAAACCCTTTTGTCCAATTCATGTACACCTTTTCCACTTTATTCAACCATATACCTTTAGTCTATGTCTTAAAACAAATATAAAACTTGGTTGAAAACACTTTTTATTAAAAATATTTAAAGTTAAAAATCCAATGAGCAGACTTTTGAAATAAAATATAAACACATAACATAAATCTGAATGATACAGAATCACAAGGGCAACTCATAACATGGTGTTTGTGAGACATACAAACAAATCCTTTAAAAAACATTTTTATACAGGTATTGACATGCTCATTATATCAGTATCACGCAATGAAACATATTCACTGAAGATTATAATGTATGATAGGAAATCATAATGCAACATCTGATGTAGTGAATATTTTTAGGTTACAATTACAATGTATTAGAGGCCTATATTTTCCAAGTTTAAAGGTTATACATGTAGGTCAACAGTCATTTTTCTTGCTAAAAGAGGGTGACACATTTCATATAATGGTATACATGTACACATATCTATATTTGAAGCTTTAGCAAAGCCATTTTGATGCTTAAAGGCAATGCAAAAGCAAGGACCTGATTAAAATCAAATTTTTTTCAAAAAAGCTGACTTACTGGGCCTTCATAGTCTTGTGAAGATGCAGTCAAAATGATGCAATGTGTATAATGGGCATAATATCAATCGATATGAACCTGGTTTCAGAGATCAATCTTACTTTAATGGTCTTTTATGGATGCCAGCTTATGATATTCGTCTTTTTCTGGGGTTAGGTAGGTTCCTTCCTCAGAGTAATATTAATGATCAAGATGGTAAGAAAGGTAGGTTAAAACTTACACAAACAAACCATGTGTAATCAACAGATAAAACACTTGTCTATACAATGTTATTCTTATAATGATTCATACAGGTGCAAAAAGAAATATCACTCTTCATCTTTTCTCCTTTTTTTTTTTTTTTACAGCACTATAACTTTTTTAAAGCTTTTTTTGTTTTCATATATTTTTGTGTGTGTTTTGTCAGTTTTCCCTGGAAAAATCCACTGAGCATAAAATTCATTTATCGAATATCAATGTTTTGATGCATCATTTTCAAGTTATAAAAATACTTTACATTAAGTTTACAATTCAATTTTTAAAAGATCAATATACATGTACAATTATTTGAAGAAAAAAAATACACTCACAAAATGATTCATAAACACTCAAAAAATATATTATATGTTCTTGAACTGGAGAAACAGTAAGCTTCTAAGTATGGAAATCACCTTTTCATACAAAACAGAAAATTTGCAAATTGTTCTCTTTACAACAACAAAAATGCAAAGACAGAAATGTCCCCATGTATCACAGATGTCGAGAGCTTAAAACATGCTCTACATCAAAAGTAAATAATTGGTGTTGTTTTACTTCTCTATACATTTTCAATTATTGTGATAATGAAAGTTAATATGGAATCTCTTTCTTGCAGATTGAAGGATTTCATCCTTTGAGAATGGTAGCTTGGATGACAATGTCACTATTACCATTCTAAATTATGACTGCATTGGTTTTAAAGGAATTAGCATATATTTGATAAAGCACCATATTTGTGTGTGCCTATTATAGACTTTAAACTTAAATGGAGGCAGCAGCCACATTGTGTCACACCCCCCTGTGAGGGTCATCAAAGAGCATCCCTGACTGACCAAGGTTTGCTTGCACTAGTTACAATGCATGCAAAGTTTCTGGTCATAAGAGAGTTTGGGGGTAATGACCTTTGGGCATGAACTTAGGGCGGACAACGGAAAAACATCACTTGGATTACTTAGTCTGTCTCACCTGCCCCTTTAGTGGGTGAGACTGATTTCCTACTAACAGGTTGACATCTTAAATGACATTTAGCCATTTTATGAGAGCATTTTATGAGAGCATTAATTGTTGAAATTTAGCCTTGGAAACGATTTAAATGATATTTTTTAGAATAAAGTATCATCTGAACATGTACAGGTACTTTACAGGAAATGATTGCAGGCAAATAGATCCTAATTGTGCATGGCAATAAATTCAATTCAATTCATGTAAAAGACTTTCCTTGCCTCAATTGAGACCTATCAGTCTTGGAGAAATCCTCTAATAATGCTGCCATTAATTTGTGATTTAATATGAAGTTCTGGATACAACTATACATTAAAACATTAGCACTTAACAATTTCACATTGTTAATTTACTTTTCTACTTTGATGACAAACATTCTACCCCTCAACCTCATGCATGTAGCTATAATCAAAATCACTCTGAAATCTGTTATTAACAGCGATTATAAAATCATTATCAAGCCAAATGTACATTGTTTAAAATACTACTTACATCATTAAATTGCAATAAAATTCAAATTCAAATTCAAATAAAGAAAAATGTATAGATATGTAAGAATTCAAAAGAAATAATAAATTCATATATATGTCTGTATTCACAAGGGGTAGGCACAATATATTTACTGGTTATACATATCTTCAAGAAAGTATAGAAACACTCCTATCCAAACAGTCTAAACCCATGCAACAATGACCGAACATGTGACTAGTCATGCAGATTGATGATATATAGATCCTTCCAACTGAGAAGCATCAACTTGCATCAAATCAATATTTAAATGCTCTATATCTTTAAAACACTCACAGCAAAGTAAGGATAATGTGTTCTCACATTACTCTTTCACCCTGACAGTTAGCTTGTCAATGGAAAGCAGACCTTTTAATGTCATATATCAAATTTCTAATAAAAGCTCCACAAATGGAAAATGTCAAAACAAAGTGAGTTCAGTTTGAAGGATCATTCTCTAAACATTGTACAGAATCAGAATTTGAAGTAAAAAAATAACCAGCAAACTTAATGTAACTCATTTTTCTATCAAAACAAACACTAATGAAGTAATATGAGATTGAACAGAGAGAGCTCAATCTAATTTCACAAGTCATCCAAGTTTGCTGGCTCTTCCTTGAAATCTCCCTCCAGCACTCTAGTAACCTGTTTCATGTTCATTGCCATAGCAACAGAACTGGCTGCATCCTACATCATTTTGCAGGGCTTGATTGATGCAGTGCTTGTCACGTTACCCATCTCTTTCCAGGCTACTGTTTCTACATGAAGCATGCTTGCCATGTGAGTTATATTAGTTTGGTATTAAAGCATTCATTCATGCAAATCATGCAGGCGCCAATGTTTCAATCTTAGCAACAATCGGGTAACGGCAAATCTTACTTCATTCACTGCATCACCTGTTCCTTTGCTTCTTTCTGGAAGACCAAAAACACAAGAATAACATTTCTATCTTCATTTACAATTTCCAATGCACATTGAAGGCTCATACATGAGTGACTGCTTATTCCTCCTTTGTGCTGGAGTCAGTTGCAGAGGTTTTATTATCCTCAGCAGCAGCTTCGGCTTCAGGTGCATCATGGGAGTCTGCTACTGCACTCTCAGCTGTCCATCTCTGAGCTTCACCTTCAGCTGATTCACTCTCTGGAGCGTCTTGGAGTGGAGTCTCACATGGTGCTACAGTTCTTTGTGATGTACCTTCTCCAGACCCACTCTCTGCTGCCTGATCTGCCTCTGTGTCCTCACATTCATCTTGAGCAGGATCCTGGCTAGGTGTCCTAGGGTTACCCACTTGAACATCAGACTGATCATTATCATTGCTATCACCTATGTGCTCACTTTGACTTACATGTTCACCTTCAATTTGGGGTCCAATATCTGATTGCTTAGTTTGTCCATCTGCCTCAGAACCTGATATCCCTGTCGAAGGAACCAAAGCATCAACTTCACTACTTTTGTTTTGCTGCCATGAATCTGCCTCTGATGGGTGATAGTTATATGAAAAGGCTGATTCTTCTTCAGGAGCCTTCCACATGCCATAGTCTGCTTCCCCACTGTCTCCTCCACATGTCGCCCAGTCTATATGCGTTGGTGTTGGAAGACTTGCTGATGACCGACTGCCTGGTGAGGTTGGGCTTGAGAACCCAGAGGGTTCTGGTAGATGGTCCAACCTCAGTTCATTCTCTTTTCTAGAGGATGGCTTACCAGCATGCGAGCTGGTGCCATTCCAGACCTGGCCTGTGGAAGCAGGCCACTGATCTACTCCTCCATCAGCCATCTTACGTGCACTGATCTCCGCTGACAGCGGCTGCGGCTGGACAACTTGATCTTCTACTGGTACATCAACCTGACCAGCGCTAGTAGGTGGGGGAGGTTCCCACTGTCCAATGGCTACACCCAAGGCTTCACTTGGCTTGTCCGAATCTGTTGATGCCAGCCAACTTTCTGTTTTACTCTTGGGAGAGATCTCCATCTCCCAGTTATCCACCCTGGCTGGGGCTTGCCACTGTCCTATTGGTCCTGACAACGGATCTACCCGCTTCTCTTCATCAGATTGTGGCTGCGATGCTTGTGGCTGCGATGCTTGTGGATGCACTGCCTGTGGCTGCGATACCTGTGGCTGCAATGACTGTGGCTGCGATGCATGTGGCTGCGATGCATGTGCCTGCAATGCTTGTGGGGGTGATGTCTGTGATCCCTGTGGTGGAGAATCCTGTGATCTTCGGTCATTGGGATTATTGAAGTCACGACCTCTGCCTCTCCCATGACCCCTCCCACGACCTCTATATCCTCTGGGCGGGCCATCTCCATAATAATTTCCTATTGGAATAAAAAGATAAGAAAGCTTGGAGATTAATCACTTCAGTACTTTTATTTTTTTCTGTTCTAGAAATAATCAGTTTGAAAACTAGCTACATATCCTCCATTACTCACATTTCTAGTATTATACTAGAAAATGCACAAAATTTGGGGTTAAATTATAGATTAAACTCTCGATCAGTTGGTTTTGACTGCTTAGTAGAAGGAACAGAATGAATGTGGCAAAGATGCCAACCCTCTTGACACAAAATTTAAAAAAGAAAAACATTTAATGTCTATTTAAAAAATGCTGAGAAAGTAGCAGTTTGAATAACTTGAGTTGCAAAAACATTTGTCATTCATTACAAAGAATTTGCAATTTTCAATTGTATCTCTTATCTCTTTAAACAGAGTTGCAATTGACATCAGTTGCAAATTAGTTTTTTTTTACTAAAATGAGACTGGTAAAGAGACTGGTAAAGAGAACTCACCTCTTCCCTGTTGATGGCCTCCCCTATGATCGTCCCACGAATCCCTGTTAGAAAGAGAAGAGAGAGGCAGGCAGAGAGAGAGAGAGAGAGAGAGAGAGAGACAGCGAAAGAGGCAGAAAAACAGACATAGAGGTAGAAATAGAGACAGAGAGAAGGGGAGGTGCAAAAAGAGGGATAATATGACATGAATATTATATTTCTGTAAAACTTTTTTTTTTAAACTCAACAAGTCACAACACAGAATTTTCACTCTGTAAATGAAATACACTGAAGTACATTGAGAGCAACATTGAGATTGAAAGAAAGACCAGAAACATGTTTGCCTTTCAGACACAATACATATAAGAGAAAACATGAACTGCATGGTTTTATCTCTTATGTAGTTGAATACTCTACATGTTAAACCTGTCTCATATAATAATCTAAATGTGATATGTTCCTGTGGAGCAGAGTGAGGAAAGAATTATGGCAAGCTTGGAAAAAGCTCCCACATACATCTGGATGATTATAAAAAAGGGACAAAAATATATAAACATCAATGTTTAAACAATGTCAATTTTCAAAAAGCCAACTAAAGAAAGACCCCTCCAGAGGATACAGTGTTGTGATTAGACATCAAATGCCTAGCAATGGATAAAGAGACAATTATCTTTTACTAAATAAAACACGTTCAAACAAGGTATGGAAAGGAAAATTTCCTATTTCTTAGCATCTACTGCACTGTTTTTACTCTTGTCTACTTCAATCTTCTATTTTACTAATAGAAGGTTCATTGCACGCGTAAGGAACCCTTTCTATGTTAAATGAACCACATGTTGACCGTATAGCCTGCTGCACAGCAGAGCTATTAGATTAATGAAAATTGTGACCAAATTATGTCTGGCAGGCAGGAGACATTTATCAGGCACGGAGATAGATGAAGCGTTAGCTGGGGGCTCATATATTAAAGGGGCAAATCAGAATAATTGTCCATCAAATAATGTATGAAGTATGTTTTCTGTAGTTTGTTTTTCTCCCCTATGATGTTGTTAATGCTGCATGCGTGATCCTATTCTAGTATTATTAACACTAGGGAAGTGTATGATAGTAGGGGTTTCGTTTAACACGTGTTTCTAAAATTTGTATTTGTCCCAAGTAAATTTTATATTTGACGGCAGAATTTTTAATGGGGAGGGTCGAAAAAGCTAAGCTGGGGTACAATGATGTGCTGATTCAAAAAATGATTATTTTGGGCCAAAAAGTGTCCATAATGACCAAATCATGGTCAGGATGGTCATTCTTTTAATCTGCCCAAAACAATTCTCAAAAAAGCTTGTCAAACCTTTGTAACCAAAGTATCTTTTAACGCGTTTCAATGGGATGTCTATGTACTTATCAGTTTCTTGCAAGGGCAGAGCTACCAACCTTGTGCGACCAAAAAAAGGAACCACGACGGAAAATAAAAAAGGAGGAATTTCAAGCAAAAAAAAGGAATTGATTAAAACAAAACTTACAACCACGCGGGACACACTGCCAATGCAGAAATGTCCATTCCTCATGCAGTTTTTTTTCTCGATATTAGGACCTATAGTATATTTACAAGTAGGTATTTTGTTGTTGTTATTTTGGTATTATAGGCGTTTCATTCTTTTGAGAAATTTCTCTCTTTTAGTATGTTTTAACCTTAGTCAAAATAACATTTTAGGGCAGTTGTTTGACGTGCGGTATGTTAAAAAAAAAAATTATAAAAATTATTTCAAAAACGTAAATTTTGATGAAAAAAAAGAATAATTCTGGGGAAAAACAGAATGGTTGGCAGCTCTGCAAGGGCCTTGATAATTCATGAAAAAACATGAATCTTTCACCAATGCAAACTAAAAATCTACGGTATCAATTCACTCAACCTAACATATCATTTATACTTTGACTAGATGCTAGCCTATTGAGCTTGTGATGATTACGTACACGCATCAAGTATGCAATTAGGATGTTTCCTTCCTCAAGCTGTAAGTCTAAGTGAGCTTTCATTATACCCAGCCTGCTCAAGTATTGAAGCAATCATGTTGCCTCCAGGCCTAGAGGTAGGTAGGTACATCTTCATTACCGCTAGCTTTGCAGTACTACACAAACAAACAAATGAAGCAATTTACATGTCATGGCACTAAGGTAGTTGAGCCAGATGTGAGGGTACAAAAAGGCGCGTCCAAAACGCAAACAGCTCAGTTGTTGAGAATCATAATATTATCACACAGAGGTACATGTAGAACCACATTGTTAAGATATGGAGCCGGTTCATGCATATACCATCTCAATGAGGCTTCATGTTTAATAGCTAAGCTTTCATTCAGATATGTCATAATTGAACTTTTTAAATCAACAAAGTCACTATCATGCATTTTGCATTCAAGACGCATCTTTTTGTGCTACTATATTTGGCTAAGCTATCTACAGGGACTTATCTCAAAATATATCCTGAAGTATAACCTACACAAATTCTTCAATATTGGATTGAACTTGTAGTACGACGTGTTTAGACAAGAAGATGCACTATTTTGGGGAGCTTGCAGTGTGCATACACTGAAATATTTTCAGAGTTTAAAAATAAAAAGCAGCAAGACCCCTCGAGGTGTAGGCCATTTGATTGGTGCAAAATTAGATTTAACCCACTGCATATCAAGTAGCATAGCCAGTGACAGGGTGCCTGAATGGACAAGTAGTTAGGTACTGATAGATCGGCTCTCAGCTGAGAGAGAGTGGGATTAAATCCAATCTGGGAGTTAACCATTGTAAATGAGCACTGGGACTGCTCCGGTGATGATCAATGAGTGGGATATGGCACAGAAACAAGGAGAGAGAGAGGGGGGGGGGGGGGGGTCCGGACAGAGAGAGAGACACACACACACACAGAGACAGGGAGAGAGAGAGAGAGAGACAGAGAGACAGAGAGACAGACAGAGAGAGACAGAGAGACATACAGAGAAAGAGAGAGAGAGAGAGAGAAAGGGGGGAGACAGGCAGACACACACACAGATAAAGAGAGAAGGGGAGGAGGGAGGTAGACAGACAGAGATGGATATATATATATATATAGAGAGAGAGAGAGAAGGGGGAGACAGACAGAGAGAGAAAGAGAGAGGTATTAATGTAATGGAAATCTACATCTGAGGTTTATCAAAATAAAATAATATTGGGAGTTGTAGCTGAAATTCAAATTTACATCATTTATTCCCAAAAGGAGTTAAAAGAGTATTAGAGGGAGCAAGAGGAAATGGAAAAAAGGACATGATAGACTCTTGATATAGCACAGAAATTATAGAAATCACAGAAAAACAGACAAAATACATGTACTGTACACACTATACAGGAGATAGAGAGTAGAGAGAGAAGGGGGGGGGGGGGGATATAGGGGAGAGACAATGACAAAAAGTAGAAGGGAGGAATACGATGGGAAATAAAAGTAGAAAATGGAAGTGGGTCGTATCAAGTGTCTGAAACTATAGAGAAGGAGGACAGAAGACTAATAAAAGCCGAAAAAAGCAATCAATCAGGTGAATCTATTTCCTTCGTGCCTGCACAGAGAAACATAGAAACCAACACCGTACTGATATTGATAGTACATCTCATGGTACGGGGAGAGCCTTTCTCATTTCTTCTAATCAAGTTCTGAATCAAGTAAACCACTGATCTCTTAAATTTGTTTTAATGCAGTTTTTCTTCTCCGCCAGATGAAAAAGACTAGAGAGACTGATAGAAAGAGAGAGCAGTAGGTAGCATCATCTACTAGTACTCCAGGATGTTATGAGCTTCCATTCCATTAGTTAATTGAATATGAGAAGATGCATCAATACATCAAACAAGTTCATTACATGTCATGTTCATAATTAAAGGAAGGCCTCTATCTCTCAGTATACATGTATGTGAGTAACATGTGTACAATCCTAGTTCCAGACTTCTAAAACCTTTCTATACAATTCCATTGGATGACAACAGAAATATCAGAGAAACAGATTGGTGAACATTTGAACAAAAGTGAGAAAAACATTTTTAAAGATTTATCAAGTTGTGATAATTATTATCCTTGTATAGAGCATCATAGGAAAATGTCAAAGTGGTAAATGTGTAATTTGACTGTGACTCATGTAGGAACATCTTATTGGACCCTAAGATATCTTTAATTTTCAATTTTTCCGTAAACACTTTTTTTCCTTTGGGGCAGAATTCAATATACATTATGGATTGTACATTGCTGGAGGTCCCCCAAAACAAAGACCAAATTGCATATATACCTCTGCCTAAATTCAGTTGAGGTGTGCTTTCAAATATTCTTGGAATATCACATTAGGCCTGTCTTCACTAGCTCGAGATTGCCAAATATCCAGCTACCGGTAGTTGAATTATCCCCATCACAAATTCGTCACTGTTTTCACGAAGTGACGGTAGTGAAAAAAAATGCATTCACTTTGCGTGACGATTTTCCTCACTACCGTCACTTCGTGAAAACAAGGACGAATTATCCAGCTAATTTGCGTCTTCATCAGCCCAAAGTAACAATTAGCGGGATATTTGGTCGGGATAATATCCTAAGAAATCTCGGTCTAGTTTGCAAAATATCCCGTTAATTCCCAAGTAGCGGGATAGTGCGCGCCCATCTTCATCAGACCGAAGTACGGAGTCAATTATTCAGATCCCATCATGTACAACGATTTCCGGTTTTTTCCGTGTCTGTAAATAAACTAGCTTGAAGCACATGGGATCTTCTTAACACTATACCGCTTAGCTTAGCTACGTGCAAAGTTAATCACTTTGGCTCAAGAAAGTCAAAGCTCAAAGTTCAGTGACTCAACATATATTTAAGTCGCCCTGATTTTGTTTTTTTTTTATCTGTGATTCCAGTCATTTTCATAGACTGGTGTGTGAATTAATTTTTTTTAAAGAAATATCTGAAGACATGATTCCCTCCTACTTTTGCAGTTTTGCACAACAAAAAAAAGAAAAAAATCATTTTGTTGTTGAGCCACCCCTCCTGGTACAAATACATGTAGATTATAGCTCTTATCATCTACTA